ATCCTCCCACGACCACCACTCCTTCGAGTAGCGCTGGATGTGCAACGGGTAAGCATAGATGCGAATGTGTGCGTTTCAGCACTACAACTAGTGACTGAAGTCAACAACATGATACCCTTTATGCTCTTCGTTGAAATGAGGTAGGGAGCAACTACCCTGAACGGTTCCTTACCCGAGGTGGCTTTTCAGCTTAACATACCAGATTTCAGCGGCTCTTGCTCTGAATTCAGAGTGATAGCGCCATAGTTGATTCAGTTTTTTAAATTCTGTCTTTAGTCCAAGTTACAAGTTTAATTGTTTCAACAGTTTTTTCAAGATAATAATAAGAAAATATGAGTGAGTAACCTGCTAAGCAAATTTGGGTTACGGCTATGCCTCCGAATACAGGAGCAATACGGAGTTTTGTCAGCCTCTTTGCATGTATGGGCTCAAAATGTAGTGAGAAATGGAAAAGAACGAAAATGTGTTTGAGGTGGCTCCTAGCTTTACACAGTCAATCGAAATGGAATGCGATTGAGGTAAACGTGTAGTTCCACACACTTAACCGGAAAGCCGCTTTAATCACAACGCCTAAATCTCGAAAATGGGACACAAATTCAAGAACTAAGCCCGGTTATAAACATCTGACTGCAGAACTACCAAGAAAATGTGATAAAGACGCCGTTAGAACACTTTTCTACCATAAATAAGACTATAGCAGACACCAGAACCTGAACTATGCCGGTTCTGGTTCATTTGGCATCCTGAAATAATCACAGACATCTGTCAGTTATCTTTAGGGCAAGGTCAGGATCACACTGACGGATTTTCCGCACTGACTATCCAAGATCATCTATAAGACCAAGTTATATTTACCAAGGAAGCACGGCGGCCGCGGTCTGCTAAATCTTGCTGATCTTTGCACAGAAGAATAAAAGACCCTTCACAGATACTTTCTAACCAAGGATTCACTTCTACATAGAAGATGGCAGAAGCAGGCGAAAGATATACACGCCTAAAGCGGTGTCAAAGCAATCACCTAAAAAATAAAAAAAAGTGATATCCGGGCTGTATGAATAAAGTAACATTTCTTCAAAGGCAATATTATGCAGCCTTTACGTTTCATTGTATCAGTTTGGAATAGCCGCTAGGTTTGTTTGAAGATGGAGGATTGTTCGTGGAATGAGAAAAATTTGCAGTGGCAATGAACTATACTAGATAAACCATGCTTAAGAAGAACTATGGAATATATCTTCAGAAAAGCATCTCGGATAAATGCAGGAAGTACTGTAGTACAACGGAATGAATTCAACGTTTTGTAAACGTTGTTCCGTATTGGATAACGCCGAGTACCTCATATGGCACAGTAGCGTCGTCAGGATCATACCCACCAGCTGACACCGCATTATCCACACCATTAGGTCAGCGTGCTAGGAGAGAACTAATGACCCATTTAATTAGACAGCCCTACACTCAGAGAACGTGTCGCTGATCGCAATCACCCAGATATATTAATATTGGAACGCAAGAACAAGACAGCCGAAGTTATTGATGTTACTGTTACAATGAACGAAAATGCAGTAATTGGAGAAAATAAGAAAATACCAAATCCTTGCCAGCGATTTGCAGCAGGTTTATCGATTAGTGATTATGCGAAAACCATCAGTTTCCTCATGCCGAAAGCGATCAGGAAAACCTAGGATCACCTGAGGTTCACACAAACACTATTATAAAACTATCAGATAGCTTCTGTTTTGAATACATCCAGAATAGTGAGAAAAATAATCAACATTACAAGTCTGCAGCAAGCCGCAATTAGTTGGCTGTGCTTGTCACTGACTGTCAGCAAAATATTCGCTGAGAATATTGAAGGGAAGATACTCTTAAGTTTTTCAAATTTTATAAATTATGATTTATTTCCGTCCGCTTCCTTGACCCCCTAGAATCTTCCTTTCACCATAGGTACTACGGCGGATATACGGAAATTCATTTGGATAATATTGTTACTTCGCGACGCTAACGCAAATATTTGCAGCTCCTACGGCGGCTCAGCTTATCGACTTGACTCGACTGGAAAACCCCGTATCCTTGAAAGACGCATTTGCGACCACCTCCGCTCAGATCAGCCAGTACATGGGTCAAGGAATGACCAGCACCTCCGTGGTTGGCAAGATATGTACCGTGTCGTCGGTTAGCGGCTGTCCGTACCTGGGACCGGTCAATGACCTCTACAGCAGTTACTTCAACACTCACTACTACGTGCTTGACCAGAACATGTACCAAATACGCTTGTCTCAAGGATGGACGCCTATGGGTATACTGGGATACGCTGTGCCTGGTCCAATTCTGTGCGGAGCGACGGTGCCGATTTACAACGTCTGGGATCAACTGAGCGGCTACATTCAACTGCCGAAGGGTCCACAGTTGGCAGGGCTGCTTTCACCACCCAGGAGAACTCGCTACTATGGCGGAATAGGCTTTGCCGTGTGGAGCGCCTAAATCTGGTCGAACCATGGAACCCAAT